ACTAAAGTACATCACCATGCACATCATAAGTTACAACCTTAAATCTCCCATGCATTTCTAGAGTCCAACTCAAGTACATCACCATGCATGTCATCAATCACAACTTCTGGTCTACCCATGCACTTCTAGAGTCCAACTCAAGTACATCACCGTGCCATGGCATAAACTCAATTCCTAAGCAAACCTATGCCTAGAATTGAGATATCAATAATCTATTTTGGGACATCCTTAAGGACTGCACATAACATGATCTTAGCTTCATACTAAATCAATATAGTCACTTGAATCACATTCAGGTGCATCACACAATCAAATCCTTAGATTCAATTCATTAACAATTACAAATAATCATTAACTAGTATTTCAATACTATTAAGATTATTCCTATAAATCAAATATCCCACTTGTAAAAATGCCTACACAATTCAGAGATATGTAGCAACAACTTAAACATCTAATGTAATACATAAATATTCATTTATGTACCTACACAATTCACACATGAGTAAAAATGCCTATTTTACATAATAGTTCATTAATAGCTCATTTAACTCCATTTTTATCAATATGATTCCAAATCATTTCCAATTTCATTCCTTATCAAATATATCAATATTTCATCAATAATCAATCATCATAATCCATGAAAAACATGATTTAGACATTTAGGTAATCTCATGCTTAACCTACAAGTTGTAAGCAACTAGATGTCGATCCTCACCTCAAATGAGCTTTAAACCTTTCCTTCTCAATCCAATACTCAAAGCTTCGGCCAAGGCAAGTTGAGAACTGACTCCTTGCTTGTAAATGAGTGGATAGGCAGCCTCCTCAAGTTGCTATCTCAACCTCCACTCAAAGATACGAAAAACAATCCTTAGAAAGGATATTTTCCGGTGAATTCATTTCCTAATCGTTCAAGGTTTGTTCTAGGTTAGTGTCTAACCCTTACATAAATGAAACGTCCTTCTCCAGAACATATTATACACTTGTAGTGGTTTATAATATTCTCCTAAACCATATATATGATTTAGACAATAGAAATGAAAGTTTTGGATTCAAACTTACTTTGAATACAAAAACGTATTCTGCGGGGTATTGTTTTCCTTCGATGTTTTGGCGGTCTTAAACTGATGTGTTTGATGCAAACCTCACCTCTATGGATTCTTTATCTTGAGAGCCTTATGTGGACACCTCACATGCCTTATTTGGACGAGTGTGGCTCGAGATATGGATCAAATAGTGAACTCCACGAACTCGAAAATATCTCTGCGGTCAGCTCCCCTTTCTCTTCTTTTCTTGAGTTGTGTGGCTCGAATTTTGGGGATTTGAAAGAGTGTATAAGAGTCTTCAAACATGCTAGCTAAGCATTTGGTTCACAAAGGAAGCATGGAAGATATTTGATTTGCAATCAACTATGGGGTGGACCTCCCTCATTTATCTCTTTTTGTAATGTCTTGCTCTTAAGTCAAGATGTCCGCCCCATATAGTCATCTTACTCATTTTTCTTTGTCTTGCAAGTACTCAAGTCATGTGGAGTGGTTCCCAATTGATCCCAATCTATTTGGGGTCCAAAATATCTACCAATACTTCCAAAAATGGAAAGATGGGTTCTATTATTTTATCTTTGTCATGAGATGTTTTTTGTACTCATTCCAATTTATATAGACCAAATCAACTCTCTACATCATATTGTTGGTCTCTAATATATGTAGGATAATCTCAAATAATTTATATGATGTATAATTATAGAAGAAAATCATATTCTCATTACTTAGCTCAATAATGCCTAAGGTGGGACCATAGGAGTTTGTATTCTTCTCAAATCAACACATTCACTTATTTGTGACCCTTAAATTTGTATTACTAGGCTACAAGCCGTGTGGACCATCCTCGAGTGGGTCTAGAACGCCATTCTTGAATAATTACTATTTTTAGCAAGTTAGACCCAAAATAAAATTTGGGTTGCCCGACCGTTCTTACTTTGTATCGAAGGGTTATATATCTTTATTTAAATAATATTGGACCACTATATCCAACAAGATGGCCCAATTAAGTATTTGGAAGTCCATTACTATTATACGAGCCCAACAGTAATATGATTAATCACGCATTACGTAAAACATTAATCGTTTTACAATTGTTCGATAATAGGAAAATTCAATACATAAACTTTGAAATTTAATTTGAATTTCAAGGACGTTCGGGTGCGGTGTCACACATTGTTTATAGGAAACAAGTGAAGTCGAATTGAATGTAGGAAATCCGGAGTTAGGGGTAAGTCGCCAAACGGTTGGGCGACATATAAGTCGCCAAACCGGATGGCGACTTATAAGTCACCCAACCGTTTGGCGACTTACTCCGACCATGGTTAAACCCAACAGTAGATCCGTAAATACTTTTAACCCAGCATTATTTTCATAATTAATTAGCATTAATTCGAAAAAAACTCCAAACCGTATAAACAAAGAAGTATTTTAATTTGAAAATGAAAACACTTTAGGAGGGTCAAAACTAGGGGTGGATTCGGTTCGAGCCACCCGGCCCGTGACCCGGCCCGGCCTGGTACTGTGCGGGCCCGAGACCGGCCCGGTCGGGCGGTCCGGGACCGGATGTAGACCCGAACCGGTGGGAATGGGCGGGGCGGGCACGGTTCCGGAAAAATGTGACCCGGCCCGGCCGGGTCGGGCCCGGGTCCAACGGTCCTATTTTTTTTAAAAAAAATTGTTAAATACTTACTAGCCGTTATGGGTGGGCTGGGGACAACCCAAACGGCTATATAGCCGTTGGGTGGGGTGCAGGGGGGTCCGGGGGGGTTGGGTGGTGGGGGGGTGGTGGTGGGGGATAAAAAAACCTATAAATACTCCTAATCTTAAACATTTTTTTATATCTCTTCTCCAATTCTTCCTAAATCCTATTCTTAACTCTCTACTCTCTAATTCTCTTATTCTCCATTCTCCAATATATTATATTTATTATTTATAGTTTATATTAATTATCTACTTATATAAACTATAAATAGATATAAATAGTATTATATTACTTATATTTGTTATCTAATTATATATTACTTATATATTTATTATATATATTAATATAGTTGGAATTATATCTAATTAATTTGAAGTCATTCTATTACTCCCATCCGAAAGACCGAAAGTCCGAAAGAGGTACGAAATTATTCTACTCCCTCCGTCCCTATATAAAAGTATCCATTCATTTTACACACATCTTAAGAATGTGGGTTTGGTTGGTACTGTTTGGCACTGTTTGGACACTGTTTTGGCACTATTTCGCACTGTTTTGCACTATTTTGTTTGCCAAAAAAGGAAAGGGAACTTTTATTTAGGGACGGCCCGAAAAGGAAACAGATGCTTTTATTTAGGGACGGAGGGGGTATTATTTACACTTGTTTAATTTTGTATTAACGTTACTTGAAAAAAAAACTAGTTAATTAGGTTGTACAATTTGCTATAACTCGAATTAATAGTTAGATGAATAGTTAATTACTTTGATAGAAAGAGGTGAGAGATATGTGGCTTTTCCTAAAGATTTGTCTATTCGTTGGAATAGTACCTATAAGTTAATTGGAGTTCTTCTTAGATATAAACAACATTTTCCTGCTTTTATGAAACAATATGATAACTATATTATAAACTCGGCTGAGATCGACACATGTGAAAAAATTTGTAATTCTTTGATATATTTTAATAATGCAACTCAAACTTTTAGTCATGTTTATAAACTTACCTCAAACCAATTTATTCGTGAAGCTGTTAATCTCGCCGGTGCTTTTTCAAATTTTGAGAATGCTGATTATGTGAGTTATTTTGCTAGTTTTATGAAGGAAAAGTTTTTAAAATATTATTCACATATTGCGCATATTTATGGTATTGCATTTGTTCTCGATCCTCGTTTTAGACTTGGTTCTTTAGAAGAATGTTTGAATTATTATTATGCTGCTTTTTTTGGTCCATTGCCAATGTATGAGGACAACCCAATTGATCCGAAAAAAGAATACAACGAGGTTAGTGATATATTTTATGCATTATTCAATGAGTTTCATGCACAATATGGCAATGCGCCCCCTCCTCCGACACAAACATCATCTAAAGGAAAATCAATTTTCAAATCTACGTTTGCCAATCTTATTAAAAAAACGAAATCAACTCCCACTACACAACAAAGCACAATTAATGAGATTTCTTTGTATTTAACTTATGATGTTGATTTTGAAGAAGATGATGATTTTGACATACTAAACTGGTGGAAGGGAAAAGAAAGAATGTTCCCGGTTTTAGCAAAGATGGCTAAGCAAGTGCTATCAATGCCGGTTTCAACGGTTGCCGTGGAACAAGAATTTAGTTCGGCCGGCAATGTCCTAACACAAACCAGAACGAGGTTGAGCGCTGAATCTCTTGAGATGCTTATATGCTACCACGATTGGTTGAAAGCAGCCCGTAGAGCTCAAGAAATTGACATCACCCCATCCCAACACTTTATGGATGAATCTACAACCAAGGGTGGCTCTACCTATGCCGGAGATTCCGATTGAAATATTGAATAATTGATTAGTATTTCATGTTTTAAAAACAATTATAGTTCCTATTTAATTTTCAAATGTAGTTCCTATTTCATTTCAAATAAATGCACTTGAAGTTTGTTTTTTAATACTTGTATAAAACTATAAAGTATAAAATATAAATTATAAAAACAAAAAAAATATTTAACCGACCCGGCCCGGCCCGGCGGGTGGCCCGACCCGTGACCCGGGCGGGTGGCCCGGCCTAGGGGTGGATTCGGGCCGGGTCGGGCCCGGGTCGGGCCTAGGCCCAGTCGGGCCGCCGGTTCGTATGATATGGGCCCGGGACCGGCCCGAGGGTTGGACGGGTCCGGTTCGGGTCGGGCCACCCGCCCGGGTCACAGGTCGGGCCACCCGCCGGGCCGGGCCAGGTCGGTTAAATATTTTTTTTTTTTTGTTTTTATAATTTATATTTTATACTTTATAGTTTTATACAAGTATTAAAAAAACAAACTTCAAGTGCATTTATTTGAAATGAAATAGGAACTACATTTGAAAATTAAATAGGAACTACAATTGTTTTTAAAACATGAAATACTAATCAATCATTCAATCGGAATCTCCGGCATAGGTAGAGCCACCCTCGGTTGTAGATTCATCCATAAAGTGTTGGGATGGGGTGATGTCAATTTCTTGAGCTCTACGGTCTGCTTTCAACCAATCGTGGTAGCATATAAGCATCTCAAGAGATTCAACGCTCAACCTCGTTCTGGTTTGTGTTAGGACATTGTCGGCCGAACTAAATTCTTGTTCCACGGCAACCGTTGAAACCGGCATTGATAGCACTTGCTTAGCCATCTTTGCTAAAACCGGGAACATTCTTTCTTTTCCCTTCCACCAGTTTAGTACGTCAAAATCATCATCTTCTTCAAAATAAACATCATGAGTTAAATACAAAGAAATCTCATTAATTGTGCTTTGTTGTGTAGCGGAAGTTGATTTCGTTTTTTTAATAAGATTGGCAAACGTAGATTTGAAAATTGATTTTCCTTTAGATGATGTTTGTGTCGGGGGAGGGGGCGCATTGTCATATTGTGCATGAAACTCATTGAATAATGCATAAAATATATCACTAACCTCGTTGTATTCTTTTTTCGGATCAATTGGGTTGTCCTCATACATTGGCAATAGACCAAAAAAAGCAGCATAATAATAATTCAAACATTCTTCTAAAGAACCAAGTCTAAAACGAGGATCGAGAACAAATGCAATACCATAAATATGCGGAATATGTGAATAATATTTTAAAAACTTTTCCTTCATAAAACTAGCAAAATAATTCACATAATCAGCATTCTCAAAATTTGAAAAAGCACCGGCGAGATTAACAGCTTCACGAATAAATTGGTTTGAGGTAAGTTTATAAACATGACTAAAAGTTTCAGTTGCATTATTAAAATATATCAAAGCATTACAAATTTTTTCACAGGTGTCGATCTCAGCCGAGTTTATAATATAGTTATCATATTGTTTCATAAAAGCAGGAAAATGTTGTTTATATCTAAGAAGAACTCCAATTAACTTATAGGTACTATTCCAACGAATAGACAAATCTTTAGGAAAAACCACATATCTCTCACATCTTTCTATCAAATAATCATGCCATTTTTTCCTAAGTTGTCCATTACCCCAAATACGTCTAATCTCCCCTTGACTACCTCCAACGATGCTCCCAACGCTTTTAGACCATCTTGCACACATAAAAAGTAATTATCTATTTATCTAACTATTAATTCGAGTTATAGCAAATTAACTAGTGAATTAACTAGTTTTGTGTACAACCTATTTTTTTAAACTAGAGTCAAATGTAGCAATTAATAAAAAATTGTAAAAAAGTAATTAACTATTTATCTAACTATTAATTCGAGTTATAGCAAATTAACTAGTGAATTAACTAGTTTTGTGTACAATGAGTACAACATATTTTTTTACTAACAATGAAATTAATACACTTTAACTTTAACTATAATTAGAATTACAACTTGTCAAATGTACCAACTAGCAACTAGCAAATTGTACAACCTAATTAACTAGTTTCTTTTTCAAGTAACGTTAATACAAAATTAAACAAGTGTAAATAATAGAATAATTTTGTACCTCTTTCGGACTTTCGGTCTTTCGGATGAGAGTAATAGAATGATTTCAAATTAATTAGATATAATTCCAACTATATTAATAGATATAATAAATATATAAGTAATATATAATTAGATAACAAATATAAGTAATATAATACTATTTATATCTATTTATAGTTTATATAAGTAGATAATTAATATAAACTATAAATAATAAATATAATATATTGGAGAATGGAGAATAAGAGAATTAGAGAGTAGAGAGTTAAGAATAGGATTTAGGAAGAATTGGAGAAGAGATATGAAAAAATGTTTAAGATTAGGAGTATTTATAGGTTTTTTTACCCCCACCCCCCCACCACCACCCCCCACCACCCAACCCCCCGGACCCCCCTGCACCCCACCCAACGGCTATATAGCCGTTTGGATTGTCCCAAGCCGACCCCCCAAGGCCATAACGGCTAGTAAGCATTTAACAATTTTTTTTAAAAAAAAATAGGACCGTTGGACCCGGAACCGTGCCCGCCCCGCCCATTTCCACCGGTTCGGGTCTACACCCGGTCCCGGACCGCCCGACCGGGCCGGTCCTGGGCCCGCACAGTATCGGACCGGGCCGGGTGGCCCGAACCGAATCCACCCCTAGCCCGGCCCGAACCGGACCCGTCCAACCCTTGGGCCGGTCCCGGGCCCATATGATACGAACCGGCGGCCCGACCCGGCCCGAATCCACCCCTAGTCAAAACCGAGGATTAGTACCGGTTCCTATCCAGTTTCAAAGCTTCGGGTTGCTCCCCAGTATTCAAGTCTTTTATTCGTTAACTTAGTTTATTTGGTTTTATAAGTAATACTGCCTCCATCACGTGTGAAGATCTCGCTTGGAATTGCCCGTATATTAAGAAAATAAATGTTTTTCCTTTGACTTCCAAAAATGCCCCTTTTACGGATGGATGAATTTTATTGTAAAATACTCCGTACAATATTTTGACACTGTTTAACATTGTTTTACAATGTGTTGTCATTATTATTTAAAGGTAGTAGATTAAACTGATAAAACGGGAGGAGGTAATAACTGATATCAACATTTTTAGAATTTTATTTACCATTATTTAAAACTCTGTAATATTCTTAAGAGGATTTTCTTAAATAGGAGTAAAAGCGGTTTGGAATTCCAAAATAGGAATGTTGTATTTTCTTCACGAAATATGAGTCGTGATTGAAAAACATTGTCATTTAGTAATAATTGTCATGTTAATGTCTAGTATTGCAACTATTTTTACGGCAAAATTGACAGTAAATACAACCATATTACTCCTATTTCGAGAAGAAAAATATGACAATTCTATTTTAGAAATCTAAGACATACAACAACATAAATTTTGGGAACATTATCAATAATATAAAGTAAAAAGAGAAAAGTGTCAAATAAGTCCCTCTACTATTATGAAAATGTCAATTAAGTCCACCAACTCAACTATCATCCAATTAAGCACGTGAACTTGTAACAAATTGTCAAAACCATTTTTACTAGGTAATGAACCGGTCACTGACACGTGTCGACATGTGGCGACACGTGGCATTTCCCCTTTTTCTTTCTTCTCTCCTTCCTCCTTCCTCGTTTCTCTCTTTTTCGTTGGCTCTTTCTTCGCCCTGTGGCCTGTGGGTTAGCACGTTGTTGCCTCCCCGTTTCTTATTTTCCTTTCCTTCATTCTTAAATCTCACCCATTTGGCTTAATCACACCCCCAACATACCCTTGTTTCCCACTTTTCTTTGATTTTTTGAATTTTGACATACCATTCAATCCATGGATAAACAAGAACAATAAGAACAATAAATAAAATTATAAATTGATGGAGAAGATCAGCACTTCATGAGACTGAAAGTTGGTAAGAGAGGATGACAACGTTAATGGAAGATGACCGGAGCTCTCTTTGCCAGAAATTGGCCGGAGAAGTCGACCGGCGGTCGACCCAACTTCTATGGCTTTGCCGAAGGCTGGTTGGGGGAAGAAGACTGGCTCTCGGATCCGACTGGTGATTGCAAAATAAAGAAGGAAAGAAAGAAAGGTAAAGAAGGGAAAGGAAGAAAGAAAGGCGCAGGACAAGGAAGAGGGGGAAGTGCGGGGAGAAGAAAGGGGGTGGGGAAGAAAGAAAGAAAGAAAGAAAATAAGGAAAGAAAAGGAAAAACAAATAGAAAAAAGGAAAGGAAAAATACAAAAATTAAATGCCACATCATATGTTTTACCTGGAACAGGAATGTTACCTACTAAAAAGCCACTTAGATTTTTTTTACTGATTTATGAGTCTAATTGGGTGATATTTGGGTTGATGCCCTTAATTGACATTTTCGTAACAGTAGAGGCTTATTTGACACTTTTCTCGATTAAAAATAAATGAGTACATATTTTTGGCACCTATTTATGTTAATGTTAGTATTACTACTATTATGGTTATTATTATCATTATAATTACACAATAACACAATCCCAGCTTCAAACTTTTGGGAAATCCAAGGGGTTAGTAGTACTATGCAATTTTGGTTAAAAATAGTGCCATTTGTGTAGGACCTCAAATTGTTGACAAACCTACGTCGGTCCTGTTAGACACTTAGACCCTTATCTTCTTGGTTAGATTTAGCGTTTAGGTGATAGTTGAAAATTGAAATGTCGAACTACTTCTCCAAGCTTATCTTTGCAAGTATGGCTAGGGATGGACGCGGGCCGATCCGGTTCCGGGCCGGGCCTGAGCGGGCTTTTTTCCCAGGCACGAAACCGGCCCGAGTTGATACTAGGGGTGGACACGGGTCCGGGCCGGGTCCGGGTCGGGCCTAGGCCCGGGCGGGCCGGCGGTTCAAGAATGGTGGACCCGGGACCGGCCCAGGTAGCCACCGGGTCCGGGCCGGGCCTCCGGTTTGGAATTTTTTTTTTTTTTGCTTTCCTAACCCCCCCCCCCCCTCACCCCCCACCCTCCCAAACCCCCCCAAACCCATCCTACCCATCAAGCCCAACCCGGGTGGAACCCCAAAAATGAAAAAAAAAATAAAAAAAATTTAATTTGGCCCGGGCCCGAGCCGGCCGGGCCGGTTCACCAAAATTGAGACCCGAGCCCGGACCCGCCCTACCCCCCGGGCCTAGGCCCGACCCGGATCCGGACCCGAGAACCGGGCTGGTCCCGGTCCCGCACAGTAGCGGGCCGGGCCGGTCCACGGGCCGGTGGCCCGACCCGAGTCCAAGCCTAGTTGATACCATGTTTAATGTTTTTTTTGGCTTTCTTGTTATATCCCGACCCCCCCCCCCCCTCACCCCCCACCCCCCAAACCTCCCCAAAACACCCAACCCTACCCTAGGAAAAGAAAAAAAGTTAAAAAAAAAGCCCAGGCCCAGCCCGAACCCGCCCGGGCCGGTTCAACAAAAATGGGGCCCGAGCCCGGCCCGCCCGACCCGCCAAAACGGGCTAAAAGCCCGGAACCGGCCAACCGGGCCCGGGCCTGGGCTGGTCCGGTTCCGGACCGGTTCGGCCCGGCCCATCCCTAAGTATGGCAATTGTTGGATTTTCTCAAGCTAGCCAGTACTTAAAAGTTAAAACTTAAAAGGACCAAGTCTTGATACTTCTTACAAAGAAATGCTTTTCTGTATACAAGCTAGTAGGTTTGTGATAGAGTGATAGACTAGTGTCTTAATTAAAGCACCTTTATCATGGATGAACAAATTAAAATTGAGTTTTTCCTTAACAAGCTCTATATTTAATGCTATTCTTCTGGTTCTTAATTTACAGGGCATGAAGTTTTATGTTGTCGCCTCACATATTATATTTCATGATATTGTGATCTATAATAATGTCAAAACTTCAAAATTACGAGAAATAAAAGCTTTATTGTTTCTTTCCATTTAAAAATACGTAGTATGTTTACTATAAATATTTATTGAGTTATCATTGAAGTGTTAAACTTCTTTCGTTCTTTTCTTAGTTTACGTATATTCTATCCAAGTTGGCATTAACCCACACACACTTACCAGTTACCACCCACAAAGTGCTTTTTAAAGTATCTTGTTATAATTAAAACATATTAAAGTAATAAAAACATATTAAAGTAATATAGCATATGATTAATTAAGTCTTTCTTTTTAAAAAAAATCTTTGGAAAGTTAAGCTAACCAGAATTTATGGGGGTGCCACTGTAAAATAAGTTAATATAGGAAATTACGTTATACATTATAAATTATGGTGTAACTATTAAAACATTATTATATTTGATGAGTACATTTAGGTTATTTTTATTAATTAATAGTGACTTATGGTCACATCCTTGTGTTTTTTCACATTCTTTTCTTTCAAAACCTCAAAAAAAAATTAAGATCTAGCTTCCTGCTTTCATGCGAGTACATTTAGGTTGTTTTTGTTATTAATAGTGACTTATGATATACTCCATCTCTCCAAAAATAACCTTTTCGCATTTGAAAACTTGTCCGGAGGTCAATAAAAATTTGAACTGTTTCTCCATTTAAAAAGTTCATATTCCTGTAGGGATGGACTGGGCCCGGTCGGACCGGGTCGGACCACTGTTTAGTACCGAACCGGACCAGTACCAGCCCATAGGGCCCGAACTGGGGTAGTGTGGGGGGGCTACGGGATAGGGAAATGGGGGACCAGACCGGCCGGTAACGGCTACATTTAAAAAAAATATATTAAAAAAAGAAAAGTTTTTAAAATATCATTCACATATTCCGCATATACTACCTCCGTCCCAAAATTAACTTCCCATTTCAGATTACGATGCTTGATCGACGGTAAAGCAACTCGATCCCTGTTCATACTCAGATTACTTTTAGTAAATAAAATTTACATATTGAGAAACTACATTAAAAGTGCTACAACGGCTGATAAAAAATATAAATTTGATAAAAATTTGATATATAAAACATAAGATTAAGAGTAATTTAAGTTGACCATGTGAATAGTGACTGTGAACTGTGAAGTTCATTTTGGGACGGAGGGAGTATATGAATATATGATATTGCATTTATTCTTGATCCTCGTTTCAAACTTAATGCTTTTCAAAATTGTTTAGAGTACTGTTATGCATCTTTTTTCAGTCTATTTCCTATGTATGCAGATAAGCCCAAAGAGGCAAAGATCCTAAAGAGAAATACAATGAGGTTAGTGATTTATTTCATCAATTATATAATGAGTTTCATGCACAATATGGTTACACGCCCCTCCCTCGACACAAACTTCTTCTTCATCTAAAGGAAAATCATTTTTGAAATATACATTTGGCAATCTTATGAAAAAACGAAAAGTAAAACAACCCCCACTGTTGCACAAAGCTCAGTTAACGAGCTTTCTTTAGATCTAACATTTCTTGTTGACTATGAAGACGATGAATCGATGATAACTTTGATGTTCTGAAGTGGTGGAAGGAAAAAGAAAGAACGTTTCCGATTTTATCAAAGATGACTAAGCAAGTCCTAGCAATGCCGACATCAACAGTTGCCGTGTAAAAAGAATTTAATGCAGCCAGCAACGTCGTAACGGATTATTGAACGAGATTGAGCGCAAAAATGCAAAATCTCTTGAGAAGGCCGAACATAGAACTTAGCATCACCCCCCCCCCCCGCCCCCCGCCCCCCACCCCCGCCCCCCCACCCCACCACCACTTCGTGGAGGAGACAACAACCGACGATGCCGAAGATTCTGACTGATTATTAGGAAATGTATTTAATGTTTTAATTTTTTCTCAATTCTCAATTGTAGTTCATATTTCAAATAAATATACTTTAACTTTTTTATATCTAGCACTTCTTGAATTAAATTTTAAACAAGATTTCAAAAAAATGCCCGACCCGGCCCGAGACCCGGATAGGTAGACCGGCCCGGCCCGGTCCCGGTGGAATCCCGGGCCGGTACCGGGCCTTAAGCCCAAAATATTAGTACCGCCCGGGCTTGTCCCGAGGCCCGGACCAGGCCCGGTCCATCCCTATATCCCCGTGGTATGTTCCCAACTTCTTTATTCTTGTATTTTTGTGTCCGTGCAACATATATGATGACTTCACGGACCTGATCAAGCAGTATAGAATCAAATAAACAAATTATGGTATACAAAAACTTGTGGTTTATCTTCGGGAAATGCAAATCTTGTGGAATTGGGGGGGGGACTCGACAATAAGCCTAAACTGGAGCTGATTCTTCACCAATTAACTGTGTAGATACAAATCAATTCAAGATTCCATTCGTGTCAAAAAAGCAAAAATTATTAACTTGTGCCTTTGTGGTAATATACAAAAGAATATGGAGTAAAGTCATGATCAGAGATGGATGGCAGCGTGGAGAAAAATGCAATACCTTTTCATTTTGTCAACCAATAAACCAAGATGAGAAACACGCACACTGAGGCAACTAACGAAAGAATGATGGTATCCATTGACTTTCTCTTTTTTATTGCTGAAATAATGTGATTAACCTGCAAAATCAAATCAGGTACTCAAGTAGATTGGTAAACAAAAGTACACTGTCTATCGTGTGAGAATATGATTGGAACTTGGGATTGGTTCCTCTCGGATTTACGTACTATCAATGCTTTCAAGTAGGCATGGATATTTTATGTTTCAGTTGGGATTTTGGTTCGGTAGGGTTCAGGGTGGGAAAATGGTTACTGAAATGAAACATAATTTGTTTCAGCTTGATTCGTTTAGGGTTGATTAAGCTTTATTTGGTTTTTTATTGGGATTTTAATATAATTTTAGTTCAGTTTGTGTTAATCAGTTTGGTTGAGTTAGGCTTAGTAAAAACAATGTTGAACTAAACCAAATTCGATATGATTAAATTTCAATTAGCTCAGATTGAATTAGTTTGGTATGGACAAACAGTCAAACCGAACCAAAATGCCCACCCCTACTCAAAAGCATACAAAGTGATTTTGACCAGAAGCAATTTGTAATAAGAATACTTAAATGAAACAATGTGGGAAATAAGAAGAAGAAAAGCACACGCCCTTACTGTTGGAAGCCGACTGCTGACATTGCTAAGCTTTGAATTAATGCCACCAAATGTTGACCGTTGATACACAAGTGCCTTTATAGTTTCTTGTGCTTGAGAAATCACACCATCCATCTGGCAGAATCATAACTCTTTAAGTTGCTCATTGAATATAACATGCACAAATGCATTGAAAAACAACCACCAGTCACCAGAACTTATCAATCGAGAAACAAAATAGAAGAGCAATGTTATGTCACAGATCTGCGGAGATGCATATATTTAGCTTAAGAATGTGAGCAAGCAAATTTACTCTTAGTTCGCAGCCTCTACAATGTGAATAGGTGAAAGATTTGGGTCTTTTACAGAAAGCATAAATAGTTTTCGAGAAAATGACACACGTTGCTGAAACCATTTTATTAACAATCACTAGACAAACTACTCACGAATAAAACTCCTAATTACATTTAGCCAAAATAAAACTTCCTTGTTCGGTAATAATTGCAACATCTCGCTGGGCACAAAGGATAAGGAAAGCTAATAAAGCATTCCTTTCCAATTCTACCCTTCAATATCACAAACTTCTAACAGCAGCTCTGTTTTCTTTATGCCATCACTGGATTCAATTATGTTCTCTATTCTTCAATAACACATCTTCATCTTTAAACCAAATACTACAGTAATTTCATTTTTAATGATTCTATTTTTTAATTTTTTCATCAGTTTCTCTACTCCATTTCGATTTTGGACTCTCCCAAGAGCTACCTGCAACTCTCTTCAAAAAAATGCAAAAAGATATTCTTTTAGTATCTCAATTGTTTTAATTTTTCTACAACGGTAAGAAGAAAGCAAAGGATGTGGAAAGGAAAATGGTAGAAAGAAATAAATTAAAGAGAAATGGGTCAAATTGTACGTAAGTTTGCAAAAAAAAGGAGTGGGAAGTAAAAAAATGATAGGAAGAAAGAAATGAAAGAAGAAAAAGGATTGCCATGGAAGAGAAAGAGAAGGGTGACAGAGTCACAGAGGAGGAGGATAAATAATCTAAAGGGACAAGTACAAAAAAGGTACTTGTGGTTGTGCACATTTTCAAATAGGGGTCTGAGGTCCATTTTTTCACAGAGTGGGTCATATGTTTTCAATTTGGGGGTCTCCGTCTAAACGCCATCAAAAAGGAGGCAACATGAATCCATAAAAAAGTGACATGTCACCTTTTTTTATGTCACCTTTATTTTACGGAGTTTAGACAGAGACCCCATGGGTGCTAACGGATTGAAAACACATGTCCCACTTTGTGAAACAATGAACCTCAGACCTCTATTTGAAAATGCGCACAACCACAAGTACCTTTTTTGTACTTATCCCTAATCTAAATATAGAGAAGAGGAAAGGCAGAGCGTGTGAGTATAGGCCAAGTAGGTGAAGATATATAATTTGGGGTAGAGTAGTGGGTTGGGTTAAGTAAAAGTTTATAAGATGGGTGCAAGGGTATTCTAGTCTTAGTGGCTATTTTTAAAACCTAAAAAGGAAGTGTTGTAATTCTTCTGAAACTGCCAAAAAAAGAAAGTGGCAATTATTTAAGAGCGGAGAAAGTACTTGATAACAACAATAGTGGGTGGTGATCGGGATGTGGTCGGATGCTGACAGGAGTAGAATGGTGGAAGCAATGACTGTTTGGTGATCTACAATGATTAGGTGGGGTGGTGTTGATTGAAGGTGTAAATATCACAACACTTGGTTAAAAAATTCTGAAAATGACAATTGGATTAATATTCTTTTGACTATGGAAGTAATTGTCGACAGGAAGGGCATCCAACATATGCCTTTTGCATGAATCTACATTCTACAGTGTAAGTTAATTTTATACTACTCCCTCATCCCTTTTTAGTTAGTCATCTTTGACTTTTCCGGTCAATAATGTTAAACTTTGACTGAATATATTTATACATGAAAATATTAATACTATGAAAATGACATCAAAATGTTCTTTGTTAAAAATGCTATCATTAAAATATAAAATTTATAGTTTTCAAAAAAGAATATTGGTAAAAACGATTGATCAAAGTTTACCATCATAACTGAAAAAGTAAGAAGTGGCTAACTAAAAAGGAATGGAGATAGTATTAATTGAATTTAACGCCGACGACACTAACTAGTTGGAAATTAAAGTTCTATTAATTCAATTAAATGCATTTTTCTATGAGAACCAAACACAATTGAAAATTACTTCCAAAGGTTATGTACTGCCTTCCCAAACATAAGGTGCAGCTTCACTTGTTTCAAAACTAATGGCAAAGTGAAGTTCTGCAGTAACTTCTGCTTGCTACAATATTTCAAGCCAAACTGCCAGCGACCCAATCTTCAACAATGTATAAGTGAATATAAGCAAATACTTGTGGTTTGAAATCTACAAGATCAGTTTTCTTAATTCAGCATACGAACTTGTCATACATTTACAATTATCATCTTAACTGTACACCCTAAAGATACCAAGGGGACCCAAAATCTTTTTATTTCACCCAACCTTGCAGCTCCTTTCCTCCCATGAGAAAGAGAGATCATTATCGCCAGATATTAACACGCCCTTGGCCTACTTCTTAATATTCCTTTTTTACAAAAACTTTTCTCTAAATGCTGATATATGATGTTACATTTTATTAAACAAGATGCAAAAAACTCTTCCTTTGTATTAAGTTTTAGAAACATGAAAAAGACCTATTTACTTGTTACCTGCCCTGTGTTCCTGTGTAGGGAAGCACGCTCATTAAGGAGTGCTTGCTCATAAGAACCATTGTTGTCATCTTCCAGATCCAATCTAGTGCGATCAAACTCCCTAAAATCATCGAGCAATGAGGCATGCTCCTTTTTAGCTCTATAGCTCGAACGGAGACGATTAAATTCCTACAACCAATGTGCATTTTCATTTTGGTTCGTAATAATACTGACCTTCAAATTAAGCTAATCATATGGATGCTATTACTATATTTAAAATATATTTAAAAAGAACACAGTTCACATGATAGAGAAACAAGCACACCTTTCAGAATCAAGTCTAAAAACGCTCTCTGGGAAGGAATTTTCATATCAAAGGTTCCTTCCAAAAATGTGGCTTTCACAGAAAGGCAGTGCATAAAAGGAAGAATTCTGATGATTTGAAACATAATACAAGTAGGAGATAAGGAGGCTATAATCTCATCCTCGGGTTGTGTGCTTAAGTGCATGAGGGATAACGAAACTCATAATCATTTTTTTTTGCATTTCATGAGTGCAATGTAATTATTGAGAATAGTATTATTGAGCATGAGGAAAGTTGGTTAAATCATATAGTCAATAGAAGACACATTGAATGAAAACTTTGGCTGACTTGGCTCGAATCAAGCATAATTTTTCATAAGGGATAAAAAAGTTAATGCTCCTTTGTTAGTGATTAATGACACTTTGGCATCTCTATGTAAAATCTTTCTGTACAAACCATACTTTTGTGTGTACTTCACGTTCCTCATTAACTATTTTTTTGTATTTTCCCCATCCAATTTTACCTCTTAATTATGAAAAACATGACCTGCCCCACCAAACTCTAATGATCTCATCTTAAAAGAAATTCTTGTAAAAAACTGTGCAGATTTGGCCTTTTGTTGGTAGTGGGGATTGATGAGTTAGCATCTGGTGACAATGAAATAAGCTACAAAAAGAACCACACTGCTGCTTCCATTAGTTTCCTCATTTTTGCCTTTTACAAATATAACTGAACTGAAGCATTTATCCCAGAACAAAGTTTAAAACTATATGTATCAAACAAATACCTGAGTAAGATCCTGAAAGATTTCTTGATGGCGAGTCAATGTGTGTGAAAAAAATTCAGATCCTCCAGATGAGACCCAAGAATGCATGTGAGAGTTGACTTGTTGGAGCTGTTTCAGTAACTGTTCTATCCCACTTTCAAGATCATTGTCTGCAGCATTCTCAACTTTTGTACTGACTAATTTACGATATACATGCATTTGCTCATCAAGCTGAGCTTCAAGCTTCCTTGCCTATACCCACATAATAAATATACCCATTAGAGGAGAGTATAAGAAATTTTAAAATTTTTAATGCAGGTGAATACACTTTTGGGATAAGGCTTGGATGTTGTTTTGTAATCCTGATGAATACTAGTATCCCAAGAGGCTAATACTACACTAGCAGTTAAGTCATATGATAAACTAAAGGAAAGCACCACTTCTCACAATACTGAAAGGCAACAATCTTTACCTAGTGGTCCTGTTCACCTGCAGAGTCATAATTAGGGGCTTATTTGAGGGATGGAAGTTCCTCTGATTGTCCATAGGAAGAAACCATGAAATGCAAGGAGTAAAAAAATGTATAATTATCAACTCTGAGCTGTTATATATTATCGAATAGACTGAAGGTTATTTTAGAAATCTATGCAAAAAATATTTCATTAAATAACGATTAATCAAAAATGTGTAAAGAAGAAAGGGTAAACACTGCATTATTGATAATTTTGAATCATTAAACTTGACTGTGAGGTTTCATGTTCGTTTTGTAGAAAGTTAGAAACATTACTATTAATATTAAATGATGACAATGGTAGTTTTATTATCTTATGTTTTGTACAAAACCACATTATACAATATTGTATATCATAAAGTGTACAAAACCACATCATACAATTTTGTACAAAACCACAATATCTTACTATTAATAGCAGAGGTGTATTGTAAGAAGTCGGCAAACAAGGAGAATGGAGATAAGTTGGTGATTATAATTCTATGATTTTTAATTATTTAGTGTTTTATTGTTTAACTTTTTTGTGTTTGACATTTGGCTTCGTTTTGTGATTTGAGAGCATCGACTTTGATTAATTAGTAATTGGCTAAGTGCTATATTTGTTTTACCTCTGTAATTGGCTTATTGATTTAAGTTCCTATTTCACAGCCTTCCACAATCCTTAGTGAAGTGATTTACGGAGTAATTGCTTTACCTCTGGTCCTCTACAGTGATGTTTTTAATTTTTTATGTGTGTGCTATTCTGTAAGAGCACATATGTGAATTTTTATTTAATGTAACACATTTATTCTAATTTTGTGTATAATTTACATTTAATTTATATATGCTAATTGTATTTCTATTTAATTGTTATAGGTTAACTATACATATTTTATATTTATTTGGTAATCGTATATAAACCAAATTATCAAAAACTTTCACATACTAATTTAGTAATGTTTAATTATAAATATGGGTCAAAGTTAACAAACTTCTGTAAAAGTATAAAAAGGAATTCTAAAATACTGACAAAGAGAGTATTACATTTATCTTGATTCCTTCAGTTATTTTTTTATGGAGATACTTTATTTAGATTAATTTTTATGAAACAATAATGATTACAATATAAAAAAATAATATCCCGTGCATCGCACGGGTACTAATGTACTATACTAGTATTTAGAATCGTGGATGAGTCCTGCCCATCTTCCTCTCACAATAAAAAGTTTTTCGCCTCAAAGATTTCCCATGTATTTGACAAGAATTTTCTATTCTCTGTCCATGTTTCTTCAAAATAAAGGATCAAGTATTTTCCCGGCAATACCAACCAAATCATCTTCACATAACACTTAAGTTTTTCAGTGCCAGCCAACCTTGCTCAATTGAGAAAGATGCATTAGTCACATGAACTTCAAAAGGTATATTTAGAGCTCAAAATTATGCAGCCTAGTCGCCTAGATTTGAAACATCGGAGCTATATACTATAGTAGCCAGAGTTCATAAACTATGCTGGCATGATCACATCAATTTACAAGAGATGAAGTGAGTATGCTCTCTTGTGGTTCTAAAGGCTCCCTTAACAAATCTTAATTGATTCACAGTGAGATCAAGAATTTGAGTTGTCAGACAGATGAACCATTGTTGAAGGCTATGATTGTCACATAAAGCTAAATCGGCAGTCGAAATTAGGGGATATTCTCTAGAATGGGATCACTGGTCCAAAAACATTAGCTGAATGAAGTAAATATGTTTGGTGAAAGAGGTGAAACATTGATTGGAGAAGCGTAAATTACACCAAGGGGTATCATTTCTATAATCCTATGTGATTTTTATAAAAGTAAATTACTTAAGGACATTGTTGTCATGGTGTATGCGACATCCATGGCGCCAAGGCATTTTTCCATGGCGATGCACTGGCGCATTTATGGAGTCGCCAAATGACAAAAATAAAATAACTAAAAATATGAACTATAGACACTATAATTCTATCACTCAACCAACAAAACATGATAAAAAAAGTTGAATATCAGCATTCTGATAGAGACACGAATGCAGCTATCAAGAAGGATAGATACTATGGTCAAGTTTATTCTAGAAGGAATAAATAGACTAGTGGTTTGTTAGTTACTTTCGTTTAAATAATTGTAACTACTTTCAGTTAGTAGGGTGGACTATAAATAGAATAAGGAGGGAGAAGTACAGGGTGGCTGTTAGATCTCTGAACTGGGACTGGGAAGATTAGAGCATTGTTGTCTCTTTTCTTTGGTGTTCGTATTCTGTATTTCCTCCATGGTGAATGTGAATGGTGTCTGAACTCTAAACCATAATTCTACCTACAATTCTTATAAAATTGTAGTTCTAGATCTGCATGGTATCTATCATTGGTATCAGAATTTCAGAGCAACGTCGATCGCTGGATGATCTTGACGTGTGCTAAGATGGAAGGACGCATGACGGAGATGGAACGGAATCAACGGGAGATGCAAGCAAGTATGGAAAGGAATCTGAGAGAGATGCAACATGATATGACGGCGAAGTTGGCAGAAAGTATGGCGGCGATGCAAGCAACGATGCAAGCTACTATAGCAGAGTTACAGAACAAAATCTCAGTTTGATCGAGGAGTCACTCACATCGATCGAGTACTTCACATCGCACATCACATCACCGACATTCAAGGAACGATGATAGTTCTGAAGGTTCGGATGGTTCACCTCATCCTTCTGCATCGCGATATAATCGCGAACATCGCCGAAGTCACAGGTATCATAATCCGGCAGGTCGGAAAATTGATTTACCTATTTTTAATGGAGATGACGCTTTTGGATGGTTAGTAAGGATGAATAGGTATTTTCATTTGAACAATACTGAGGAAGAACACAAGATAGATGTGGCAGTTGTAGCGATGGAGGATCAGGCCTTGAGTTGGTTTCAATGGTGGGAAGGCCAAGCTCGCCATCAGAACTGGGAGAGTTTCACAAGAGATTTGACCAAAAGCTTTCAACCGGACTTGGTGCAAAATCCACTGGGACCATTGTTCAGTCTGAAACAGAAGGGAACAGTAATAGACTACAGGGACAAATTTGAAGTTGCTATAGCCTCACAGGGGCACTTGACTTTAGAAGTACTGAGAGGACTGTTTCTAAATGGACTAAAACGTGACATAAGGGCTGAGTTAAAGTTGTATCCTACAAGAACACTAGCTGAAATCATGGATACAGCTTCACTGATTGAAAACAAAAATAACGAAGCATCAATCATGAAGAGTAAAGATGAGGGAAGGAAGAAATGGCCAGGGAAATCTAACAGTGATCAGCAGTTTCAAAATTGGAAGGATGGGAATAAATGGAAGAGTAATCCAAACACCTCTGCAATTTCTGGTAAGGGAGCCAGTGAGAGTAAACATGTTGATGAGATGATTCAACCTAATCAGAAGAGGACTGGTCCCAGATTGTCTCAAAGTGAACTGCAAGAAAGAAGTAGGAAGGGGTTGTGCTTAAAATGTGGTGAAAATTGGAATAGGGGACGTGTGTAAAATGAAGAACTACAAGATGATATTGGTAGAAAATTCTGAAGGTGAAAATGAGTCTGGAGAGGAGCTTATAGACTCTGAAGAGGAAAAGGATGCACATCAGCAACTTAAGACTATGTGGTTGTCAGTTTTGAGTAAAGAAGGCATTGCTTCTATGAAAACTTTCAAGGTGAGAGGAATTCTGAAGTGAACAGGTGGTGAGAAGGTTGTAAATATTCTCATTGACAGTGGTGCTACCCACAATTTTATAGCACAGAGTTTGATTGATAGGTGGAAGATCCCTTTTACACCTATTCAAGGATATAAGGTACAAATTGGGAATGGAAATTTTATTCCTAATAAGGGGAAGTGTACTGGCATGCAATTAGAGGTTCAGGGGACTATGATACAGCAAACTTTTTACATGTTGGAGCTTGGTGGGACTGATATGGTTTTGGGATTGGAGTGGTTTACTGAACTGGGCAACATGGAAGTTAATTTCCAGAATCAGATAATCAAATGGAGGAAACAAGGACAGATTTATATGATTAAGGGAGAAACAGACTTGAACAATATGGAGGTTTCAATAAAAATCATGGCTCACACTTTACAGCAAAATTGTGAAGGAGAAATGAACACCGTGGAGCAGAAAGATAAAGAAGAGGAATGGGGAGAAGTGATGGCAGAATTTCCAGAAGTTTTCACAACACAGTTGAAGTTTCCTCCAGCTAGGGATTGTGATCATGCCATAAATATCAAGGAAGGTGCCAGCATCCCAAATTTGAGACCTTACAGGTATTCTTTTGACCAAAAGAATGAGAGAGAAAATCATTGATGAAATGCTGTCATCTGGAATAATCAAACATAGTAACAGTCCATATAGTAGTCCTGTTCTATTGGCTAAAAAGAAGGACGGGGGTTGGAGGTTTTGTGGGGATTATAGGACCCTAAACAAAGTGACTGTGCCTGACAAATTTCCAATTCCAGTCATAGAAGAGCTTCTTGATGAACTGGGAGGAGCTAGAATCTTTTCAAAATTGGATTTAAAGTCAGGTTATCATCAGATCAGAATGAAGGATAGTGATACTCATAAGACTGCCTTCAGGACCCATGAAGGGCATTATGAGAATTTGGTCATGCCATTTGGGCTGACTAATGCTCCTTCAACATTTCAGGCTTTAATGAATGAAGTTTTGAGACCTAAGAAAATTTGCCTTAGTGTTTTTTGATGATATTCTAGTTTACAGAAAAAATAGGGAAGAACATAAAGAACATTTAAGGCAGGTTTTGGAGGCTTCGAAAAAGAATGATTTGGTGGGTAAACAGAAGAAGTGTTCCTTTGGTCAAGGGGAGTTGAATTATTTAGGCCATATCATTTCTGAAAAAGGAGTGGCAGCTGACCCTACCAAAATTGATGCTATGAAGAATTGGGCTGTCCCCAAAGATCTGAAGGGGTTGAGGGGTTTCTTGGGCCTAACTGGGTATTACAGGAGGTTTGTGAAAAACTACAGTGAAAAAGCTCCACTTACCTTGGGCTGAGTTTTGGTACAATACAAATTACCACATCTCTCTCAAGAATACTCCCTATCAAGCCTTATTTGAACAGGATCCTCCTGCCATAATAAGAGGAGATGTGAGTTTAACGGCTGTAGCTGAGGTATCTAGACTGACAGCTGAGAGAAATGAGATTCTGAAGGAATTAAAAGAAAATTTGGCTAGGGCTCAAAATCTGATGAAACAACAAGCTGACAAACACAGAAGGGAAGTGGAGTTGAAAGTTGGAGATCAAGTGTTCCTGAAAATACAGCCCTACAAAATGAAGAGTTTGGCAAGAAGGGTCAATCAGAAACTTAGTCCCAGGTTTTATGGCCCTTATGAAATCATAGAGAAGCTGAATTATGTGGCTTTCAAACTCAAGTTGCCAAGAGATTGTAGAATACATCTTGTATTCCACATATCTTTGCTTAAAAAGGTGTTGAAACTTACTGTCCACTATCAAGAAATTCCAAGGTGTCTTACAGAAGAATGTGAACTACAAGTGCAACCTGAGGAGATTAAAGAAGTCAGAACGCATCAAAAAGGGAAGAGGAAACTCCTGATACATTGGCAGTGTCTTCCTGAGTTTGAGGATTCATGAGAAGAAGAACAAATAATCCAAGAACAATTCCTCGATTTCCAACTTGGGGGCAATTTGGATTTTCAGGAGGGGAGTATTGATAAAGACACGAGTGCAGCTATCAAGAAGGATAGATACTATGGTCAAGTTTATTCTGGAAGGAATAAATAGACTAGTGGTTTGTTAGTTACTTTCGTTTAAATAATTGTAACTACTTTCAGTTAGTAGGGCGGACTATAAATAGAATAAGGAGGGAGAAGTACAGGGAGGCTGTTAGATCTCTGGACTGGGACTGGGAAGATTAGAGCATTGTTGTCTCTTTTCTTTGGTGTTCGTATTCTGTATTTCCTCCATGGTGAATGTGAATGGTGTCTGAACTCTAAACCATAATTCTACTTACAGTTCTTATAAAATTGTAGTTCTAGATCTGTGTGGTATCTATCACATTCTAACCAAAACATGTGAAGTTAGAATATAATATTCTAAAAACGTTTCATGTCTTTCAAAATATATCAATTTGTTTTTGTTTGATGATTATGCCATAATCATCATCAATTATCACACTCTTCCTCATCATCTCGAAGGAGTTTCCTTAAGTCGTTCCCTGTTGTGCAGCTATCAGACTCCAGCTTTTACGTTAGTTCAGCAGCTTTCTCTGACTTCACGTTAATTGTATGTTTATTTACTTTTTATTAGGGTTTTTGTCAATAAAATGGGCTGACACGTTAATTTCTTATTAGGGTTTTATTAATATTATGGACTGGCAGATTATTTGAATAACTATGAGGGCCAAAGTCTGAAAATAACAAAGTAAACATGTTAAGATCTGTTTAATATTATGGTGCACATGCCATGGTGATGGCGATGGTGGTGGTGCCGATATGGCACCGCCATGTGTATGGTCATCGCCAGGAGGACATTTCATGGTGATGGAGGGTTTTGGTGCCATATGACGCATGCGCCATTTCTCGCCATCGACGACCATGCTTCAGGACAATTTCAGCACAAGTTGACTACGATGAATTGGTTGGAAAGCAAAATGCTAAAGAACATAAGTTTTTACTACAAATGATTTTCTCCATCTTCGGCCCACATCATCCTTACATCCAATTATCAGATGAGGCTATTGCTACAATAGAGTTGGACTTGAGGGGTTTAAGTCCATCATGAGCTGAACTGGTCTGCCAAACTAAGCCAAAGTCTCTATGTTCAAGGCAAGCAAATTCTTAACTTCCTCAAACAGGATTTGTCTTTGCATAGGATAACTAGCAGAGTTTTAGAACTACAGTATTTCCATTGACCGCACCCTCTAAACTGAACTGTATCATTAGAAGCAATCGAAATGCGGCTTTTACTGATAAGGATAACAGATAATTACACATCATTTGTTCTTATTAATTAGCCTTATTCCTTTATCATATCCCCCCTGAAATAATCTTCTCATTTTCTTTTTTAGTTCGATCCAAATAATCTTAATGTTCCTCTAGAAAAGAAATGTGTGCTGGAAGATGATCAATAAAGCATCAAATTCCATTAGATCAAAATAAAGTGAAGCAACTTCCAATTCACCAAAATAGCATCACGAAATGCACCCTTCAAGCACATGTGACGACGGATGGAACCAAGACAAAGCAATAAATTTTCCACCACGAATGAACGGATCCAACTCCGAAGAATGGGTTCAATTTCACTAAGGTGAACATCCAATTAACTCTCGGGGCATGGGTGTAGCAGTGGGAATAAATAAAGTCAATGAGGGTACCTGCTTTCGCAAGGAGTCCCAAGAACTTGGCGGATCCATGTGAAAGCCAGCAAAGAATGAGTCGAAAGCCAAGTCCGACAGACGCACAGAACCTGCGATTTGCGTACCTCGGAGAGATTGGTATGCATAAATTATAATGGAAATACCGAATTTGGATGCGTAATTTTGATACTCCAGAATTTGGAGGGTGAAGGTAGAGCTTGGAACAGTGAGGCGGAAAAAAAAAGAAAGGGAAAATTTTGAACAACCCCATTAACAAAAATTCCTACATTTATCATTTGTCAAATAAGTGGCGATTTATATGTACACTAGGGTGTACATGTACATCAGATTTTTTTGTAATTAGTTGATTGACCTTCTTCCTTCCCTGTTCCACCCATTCACGTTTATCCTTCTCTTTTTTCGTATTCCACTGTTGGTCGTTGCTTTGTTTCTTTTTCTTTTATTCCCCTTTTTTCTACATCTTATCCTTACTTCTCTTTTCTTGTATTCATCCGTTGTTTCGTTTCTTTTCTTTTTTTATTTTCCTTTTTATAACAGCTAATCCTTACTCCTAATACTCAACATAATAGTTTTGATGCTCATTAAAAGTTCATTAATGCTCATTCACCAAAAACCGTGATTTTCATGTCAATAGTGGATGTTTGATGCTCATTGTTAGCCACCTAATACTCAATAAAATAGGTCAAATGCTTTATTGAAAATCTGACCTATTTTAAAGACATTAAATTGAGCATTAAGGCATTTTCATTGAGTATCAACTTTTCTATATTGAACATTAGAACTCTGCAATTGAGTATCATGGTATGTGTGCTCTAGTATCTATAATCAATTTTTACGTCAATCTACTATAATATGATACTTTTGAAATATGTATTGATATAACATTTTAAAATGAGCATAACACAAGTACCAAATGAGCATACATAACTTACTAAATGAGCAATGATATTAAAATAATAAGCTTTGTTAGTTAAGCATCAATACATTTTCATTGAAAATCAAACCTCTTCTATTGAGTATCATGGTCTTTGCTCCCATGTATATAGTCTCTTATACGAATCTAATATGATACTTTTTAAATATGGATTAATGTGACATTTTCAAATGAGCATAAAACTAGTACCAGATGAACATACATAACTTATAAACTGAGTATCGAAAAATTCAAAAGCTCGTTTGAATTCTCTAATGTGTATAAATATTCATTTCGGCACCTATATTATATATAATGACAAATATAGTAATGAAAAATCATAATTTTATATTAAAAATAACTTGCAGTCTTTCATTTTAGAATTACAAATATAATCGGGTTCTTTTTATAATGTTTATGCATGCGTATTTTTTTACATCTTACTCATTTCAGTATAACATAAAACTCATGTCAGTAATTAGCACATAATAATTAATAAACTAATAAATATTTACGTTAAATTAAAATTAGAAAAATAAAACAATAACACATTAAATATTTATCATAAATTGAAATCAATGGGAAAAAAGGAAAGAGAATTAAAAAACCGGACCGGGCCCGGTTGGCCGGTTCCGGGCTTTTAGCCCGTGTGGGCGGGTCGGCCGGGCCGGGCTCGGGCCCAGTTTTGGGCGAACCGGCCCGGGCGGTTCGGGCCGGGCCCGGGGTCAATTTTTTTTTGTTTTTTCAATTTTTTTTCTTTTCCTAGGGTTGGGCTGGGTGTTTTGGGGAGGTTTGGGGGTGGGGTGAGGGGGGGGGGGGTCGGGGGATAACAAGAAAGCAAAAAAAAAAGTATTGAACCGGGCCCGGCCAGGCCCGGTTAGGCCCGGCCCCGGTAGCAACCCGGGCCGGTTCCGGGCCCAAGGAATTGCAAAAAAAGCCCGCCCGGGCCCGGCCCGGCCCGGGTCCATCCATATAAGTCGCCCAACCGTTGGGCGACTTTTCCTGACCATATGAACGCAAACCAACAGCTACTGCCAACCACACACGATCGTGCCTAATTCCGAAAATAGAATTTCATTTGTTTTTTTGCCCCAGTTCATACTCGAACACATAAATACAACATACAAGAGAAAATACGTAAAATGTTGTAAATTGTTCTTACAACATCTAAAATGTTGTAAATTATCTAAAATGTTGTAAGAGAAAAACTGCAATACAAAAGACAAAGTAGAAGTTGTCATGGTCATCTTGATCACTCGGTCCAGGATCCGCTGTCACCTGCATGCCTACAAACAAACAAAATCGTATTAGTTAATTTTTACTATTATACTAATTCTTTTTTTAATCATCCATTTTATTAATTAATATGTTTTCATGCAGTGCTGAGATGAAATGTGAATTACTGTAATTAACACCTTACCCACTGAACTCTCTATCGTGTCTTGATGATCTCTTCACACATGTGGCCCTATTATGGCCGATTTGGTGACATTTTCCACATCTAACCGTTCCTCGGGGACCTTCATCCATCTTATTCTTAATACGTGTCGACTTAGGTCTTCCCTTAGCCCGAAGCATGGATGGATCGTGCACGATTTCAGGTCCATTGTAAGTAGGCCAATAATCACGATCAAGAATGAGTTTAAAGACTCTATGATTTGTGGCCTCGTATTGGTCAGATGAGAAAAACTTATCTACAAATGGAGCATAAGACAAGCTACGTTGTCTGCACGTAATAGTTCCCTCCCTAATGACACACGATTGGGAAGCTTGAGAAATCCATATTCTAATAACAATTCAAATATATCCAAAACTCAAGATTCACAAACAACTCACATTTCAATATGAAAATATCCAAATTTTGATATCTACATTCAAGTCTACATTTCAATACCCAAATTTAGCTACATTCAAATCCACCCAAATGCCCAAATGTCAAAATACACTTTAAAATTTACAATCAATTTCAAATCAAATTTCAACATTTCATATGTATCCACATTTCACAACAACTCAATTCACAATCAATTCATAATCTAAAAATTCAAAAAATTTAACATTCAAAACCCTAAGTTAAAAATGAAATGAAATGGAGTTTGATTTACCTACAAGAAAGAAGAAAGAGTGTTGAAGATGAAGATGGAGGTTTGCCGGAGTGGGGTCACCGGATATGGAAGTTCGCCGGAGTTGGAAATGGCTCGGTCGTCGGTCGTCCTTCAAAGCTGCTGCTTGGGGGATTTGGGGATTGAGTTTCGTTCGCAGTGTTCTGTTTTGTGGCTGGCCGCTGTTTTTTACTTAATGGAAAGTCGCCCAACGGTTGGGCGACTTATAAGTCGCCAAACCATTTGGCGACTTATAAGTCGCCCAACCGTTGAGCGACTTACCCCCGACTACGGTTAACCCAGCAATATATTGGTAAATACTTTTAACCCAACCCTCTTTTCGTAATTAATTAATTAATTAACATTAATTCGAAAAAAACTCAATCATGTGTGCATGGGCTAGAGAGACGAACTATCTCTTCTCTCTAGAGAGGAACTCTAGCGGCCATCTCTCCTCTTTGTAGGGGTTGAGATTTTCTGCCGCTCCTATCAGTATGGGGTTGGAGCGACAGATTATACTGGTTTTAAGTGTTTTAAGGTTTAGGATTGCAACTGCATCGGAGGAGATAGCGTTGGCGGATGAATGAGGTGCGACTGAGAGGTTGTATTAAGGCTGGATCATGAAGCGTTGGTCGGGCATTCCGGCGGTGTTGGAGTTGGTATTCACCCATACTGCGAGAGCCGTCCTCCTCCGGAACCACCTCCATACGAGGAAGAGCTTTGTGGAAAGATTTTATTTCGGTATTATTTTCTTTTTAGTAGCAATTGTTTCTGTTTTAGTTCGAGTAGATTTGATTTGAATGTTTTGGATTTTTGGAATTCTTTTGATAGACAAGGATTTGGTTTCGGTCGTTTTGGGCTTAAATTTGCTCGTTTCAGGTTTAACGAGTCATGTTACTTTGTATGAGGTAGCTGACTCTAAGTCTACTCCTAGGGTATCTCTAAATTCTATCTAAAGGTTGTCTTGTATAGGTTCTCAACTTTAATATAACGGTCGCTCTTTTGTGATAAAAAAAGTGTACATGTAGGGTGTGAGTACGTGACTGACTGCATTTAAATTAGAGATTTTGAAATTGAGAGTATATCTCATAGAAATTCTTGATAAATTAAGATCATGGTTGAGGAAAAAATAATTGATTTGAAATTTATTTGAGATCTTTATATGTGGGACACGACAATAATAAACCATAAAAAACCGTAAAATTGATGAGAATTTGAACCGTTTCAATTTTCAAAAATATAAGGTCACTCTTTTGTCATGTGAACAAAGAAGAGCCACAACTGCCACAAGCAAATTACGAGTAAGTTGTACTGTAGTACATTATGGTAGTAGCCCAGTAGTATATCATAAGCTTTTTAAAACTATTCAATAAAATAATAATAAAATTTGTAGAAATAAGAAAGAATATCATAAATATTACTCATATATTTTTAAAAGTCAAAAATATTACTCATATAGTCATATTACTAATCTTGGGAAAACTACCAAATAAGCTCTCAAACTTTCATAAAAAGTGCAAATAATCCTTTTTATAGGAGGCTCTGTCCGACCGTCATCATTTGGGTTGGTTTCCGGTGAAATTTTTTGATGAAATTTTTTGAGCGTCTTCTTCATTAATTCTAGTTTACTCATACCAAATTTCAGCTAAAACTTTAATCGGGAAGACAGTCAAATAATTTTTTGAAGATAACTGCGCAGTTAGACAGCGTAGTATATTTCAGAAAATCATTTGACTGTCTTCTAGATTGAATTTTTAGCTGAAATTTGGTATGAGTAAACTAGACTTAATGAATAAAATGCTCAAACAATTTCATCAAAAAATTCCACCGGAAACTGCCTCAAATAGTGACGGCCGGACAGAGCCTATTATAAAAGAACTTATTTGCACTTTTTATGAAAGTTCGAGATCTTATTTGATAGTTCTCCGTACTAATCTTTTATTTTCCAATTAACTTGCTAAGATCTGAAAACGCACCCGGCCTGTAAATCGGCCAGTAACCCATCTCCAGCATCATCTCCAATCTCCAACGTAACCGGCAACATTCAGCCGTCTCCAAGCTCCCCCTGCAACCTCTTGCTCACCTCCTGCAGCGGCGGCGTCTTCCTTCACCGACGGCAACTATATTTCTCTTCCAAGGCCTCCAGATATGCTATGGCAGCCAAAAACAATTCGGCACCGGCTGCGTGAAATCTTTTATACGCGCAGCGACAGTGGACAACCAATCTCTTCAATGGTGGCAATTCCAT